GATAGATAGATAGATAGATAGATAGATAGATAGATAGATAGATAGATGTTGTGTTGGTGGTGTGATGACGGGCTCCAGGTTGGTGTTGAACTCACACTACAGTAAACAGTGAAGCAAACATCCCGTTTATCTCCCAGCCAGCATAATATGATGCTGACAGGCTGGTGTCAGCCCTCTCTTTTGGAGATCACAACAACAACACACAACACACAACGCACAGCCATACTATTTACAATAACGGCCTACCTTGACGAAACGCAGCGGACTGGATAGTGGCTCTGAACGCAGCCCGCACTTGTTAGAATGGGGGGGGAATGCGTCTCTTACCTGTCATAACTCCATCTACTGTAAGACATGGTCCTGTTGCCGCTGACTGCATCCATGTCCCGGGAGGGGGGGGGGGGGGGGGGCGGGCTGGACCAGACGACGAAAATCAACGCGCAAACGCTTCTTGTATACTAGTGGGGAAAGGCGAACTAGTGGAAGCGCCTTTCGGTGAATGAACGGAGGGAGGGAGGCTGAGCGCAGACAGACGCGCGTCCACGGACCATACCACTGAGCGCAGGGGCGCCACAGAGAGAGAGAAATAGAGAGCTGTCATCCCACCGGTGCAAGCGCCGTTAGGAATTCCAGGGGAAATTCATTGGAAAAACCGAGCGGGTCAGCGTTTGCAAATGTGTCACCCTGCGACGTGAGAAAAAAAGCCCCAGAAGCTTTCATCCGATCACAGACTCCGAACAGAGCGTTATCCATCAGGAACAGATCTGTGGGGTGTGTGTTGGAGCCATGTCAGAACACCTCAGCAAGCAATCGACCACGAGCAGCCATTCAGAAGTTGTTCTGTCTTTTTTTTTCATATAGTTTTTAATATATATTTGTATAAATTTTTTGGGAGGTTTGCAATGTATTCACATTTATCCAGATCATAGTTTGGCCCAATGCCTTGACTGACTGCAAAATACAGCTCAGCTGCCATAGTTGTAGTTTACTGTGGTTCATAGAAGGACTTTGCAAGTTTAATATGTTTCCAATATGCAAGACTTTTTTCAAAATTTAAATATACAATGTATGCCTCCAAAATGTGTGTTCTGTCCTTGGAAACCAAGTTAGGCTCCCTGTAGCAAAGAATCTTAGGCCTATATATACCCCACGTCTACAGTTTTCTTTTGTTCATACTCTCTAGGAGGGGGTTTAAATATGTCTGTATATCTGGAAATAGGTTTATTTCATATATGGAGCATCTCCACTTCAGTTCAGGGGTTGAAAAGCAAAAGCAAGCAAAAATGTTGAATTTGCATGAAACATGAAAAGGTCTTTTGTCACCCGTAATTTATGTATGCATTTCTGGAAAAACAGTGATTTGTTGAGAACAGTTCCTCTGGAGATGTTTTGCTACCTTTTGTTCCTTTTTTTTCTGCCAGAAGACATCACATTCACATGTAATGCTGAGGTTCAGACTTTGGGGAGGATTGTTCAATCCATTCAACCTGTTTCTGTCAAGGTTGGTGGAAGTGAGAGATGAAGCACAACTGACAAAAGAAAGAAAGTTGGAAAAAACAAGAACACTACAGAGTGCCCTGAGAAACACAAAAGGCTTGTAACATGAACAGGAAACGATCCAACAAGCACATGATGCTCAGATGTGCCAAATTTGTCATAAACAGCTATTTGTAAAAGCTTGTCAAACAGCGTTACCTATGATATTTATAAGGAATTACCCATTTTTCCAACAAGTTGCAAGTCAAAATATTCCTATGTAAGTGGTCAAATGAGAACGGGACTGAAAAAGACTCAAAAGGCGACCTATGTCCAAACATCTACTTTGAGGAACTCGAGATCAAGTAGGTCTGGCTCCATTGGAATGGCAACTCAAGATAACAAGACACTTTCTGTGAAGTTGTGTCAATTGCTTTTGCAATGAATTCTGTATCTATTTAGAAATATATGCTTATTTGATCAGTTGCAAAAAAACAACTGCTCTCCACTAGCATCTAAAACACGTTGTTGAAGTTTTTCATGGAGCGTGTGCATCTGATGGACACTGGAAACTACAGTAAGACCCTGGAAAGTTTTTGCAGTGATGGATCATTTAGGTCTAAACATCCAAAGATGAAAGACATTATTGGGGCCTTGTGTTGGTCACCTTTTCAGTAAACACTATTCAGTTCATTCGCTGTAAACAGTAGAATAGTTTTAATTGGCTTTTTCATTAACAAAAAAAAGGTTTTCCCACATATTCAGTTGAGGTTTTATAGATTAGATTTCATAAATGAGCAAACCTGTTGGTCTTTAAAAGCACTTTGTGTTTGGATGGTGTAATATGAAATGCATTCAATTCAATTTGGAACATTTCTGATACTCAGTATTTATCTAATTATCTAGCATGTCTCAGAAAGAAAGAGAAAAAATGGGGATCAGTATGCGTCAGAGATGTCCAGACAGCTTATTCTGCAGTATTTCTTTCATAGCCTTAAAAAACTGGAAGTAACAGGGAGAAGACTGCAGTCATATTTCAAGAGTGTGCTTTTTAAAATCCAGTCAAGATGTTTATTTCTACTCGTTAGGAAGCAGACGTTCATATCTTCGAAACCCTTGGTGCAAACTATTTAAAAGGGGATCTAAACAGCTGAGGAAAATAAAGATTCTCTAACCCATCTGGCTCAATGACAGATTTTATTTTAGCACCAAAAGCTAGACACAGGGCAAAAGACACTGGTGTGGAAGAAAAAGAGTAAAAAAAAAAAAAAAAAGAATGATCTGGATGTACACTAGGATTCGCAACAAGATGGGAAGTGGGTATTTCAAATCTCAGTAATACTAATAATTCATTTTTGTGATTTAAAGCTCCAATGTTGAGACCACAATTACTTCTAAATCCCTCTCCTGCATGACCTGGTATTTTACACTCTGAAATGGTAATAAACACCTCTTGATAAATATATTCTGAATTTCTAAGCCAGAATAAAAAAAAGATATCAGAAAAGGAAAAAAAAAAGCCAAAATAAAATAAAATCACCCAAAACATTCTTGGTCACATCTGGCAGAACAATCCAATTTAGCTAATTTGAATAAAAGAGAATTAAATATTCTTCTTTACATATATACACAGCAGCGCTGTGAGCATGTATTCACTTATAAACATAGAAAAATACTTGTCAACTAGTTTGATAAGAAAATAATGTATAAAAGTAGAGTAGAAACATTTAATCAAGTCCATTCATTTCATCATCTGATTTTGTTATATTACAAGATGATGACATGAAAAACAAACTGCTGTACCTCCTTTGAAAGCCTGAACAGAAGTACAGAGGTGGAAGAGGGGAGGGTGGAACAACGTGTTGCGTCTACAGTGATGAGCACATGTGGGGGGGCCGGGGGGGGGGGGGGGGGGTTACGGCGTGCATCTCAAAGCTTCCATTTAGCCCAGGTGTTTCAACCAACAGCTCATCTGGGACAAAATCTCATATTACAGAGTAATTCAAGGACACAAAATAAATACACTTGCCACTGCGTTACTGGAATGGTGTAGCAGTTATTCGATTTCTATCAGACTAAGTCAGAAGTGGTGTGACACATTGGAATGATCTGTACTTAAATGAGCTCTGAGAGCTTCTTGATTTGCAACAAATGGATTTTTTAACATCACTTGTCGGAAGTTGAACATGGAGAAAAACAGTGTTCAGTGTTTCCGTCTGAAATCTTGTTAGTTTTCAAGGCTACACGACGTGCTATCAATAATTTAGTCTCTACTGCTTCTAAAAGAAACAAAAATATAAAACCATGTCCAATGCTAAGTGAACCTCTGCCTCAACGGGAAGAAATCCAGCCAAATTTGCTACTTTCCTTACCTTGAAGAAATTGTGTAGGATAACAATCATTGAATCTATAAGACTTTAAAAAAATGAAAACAGATACAGTAGACACTCCATATTTGGCGATCAAAATGTAAGCAAGAACCACAGAAAAAGTCAAAAATCCACTGCAGAATGCCAGAAAAGTATATCATTATAGCATTAAGGGCTGTCTAGGCATTATATCTATATACATACATATTAAATTTCATATATGTAAAACCAAACTCAACCTCACGCACTGCACTGTGGTGATTTAATAGGTCATTAGAAATACACTTTGAAAATCACAACAAATGTCACATATGTACAGTAGCAGATTAGCACATGGGAGTAAAGGTGGATATGGCACAACATACTCAAAGCTTCAAAGATAATCTCTCTGCTGTGGTCAGACACTGGAACCTAAAGAAAGTCATTAACATTCTGGATATATAGATTTTCATTCAATCTCGGTAGCAAGTACAAATGTCACTACAAGGCAAGAGAAGTCCTTCGGAGTACAAAACATTTAATTGTCAGGCTGATTTAGAAGGCAATGTTTAGTGTTGGGACTCTCTTGTGTGAATTAGATAATAGCTGAAGGTAGCGTGGTGTTAAAATTTGGCATTGTCAGTTGTCCTTAGCAATGTCCTGGGAGCAGCAGTCCCTGGTCAAAGTATCTCAGAAAAGGCCGTCTGAAGTCATGCACGTGGAGAAGGCGGCGGTCAGTCATCCCCCTTGGGATGTGATGTCAGGCAGAGTGGGTGGGGTGGTCGAGTAGCTGCATGAGTTACAGTGATAAGGCAGACTTAGACGATCACACAATGGCAGCCGTTTTTGTCTTTCTCTTTTCTTGTAGGTTCTGGTGACGGTGGACATTCCTGTTCTTGGAATTTCCTGGAAGGCGAAAAAGGAGGAAAACATTTTTTAGCAAAACTATCAGGGACACATTGAACTGAGAAGGGTGCTATTTACAGATCTCGCAAATTCTGCTAAAATCCTATCAAACACATCTGGAGTTATTCATATGCAAAAAGAAGTCCAGATGTTTTTACAGCTAAAAATCCCCCTGTTCCACTGCAGGATGTTTTGAAAGTCATTTACATAAAATTTGCATTTTTCACGACCCGGTCCTTCCATAATTTGGAACGTTGCTCGATGAATAATGCAAATCTCCTTTTACCACATCTCGGCCAGTTGAAGATGTTACAACTGGGAGCACAAGAAAACCTCAAAGGGGCGCCTCACAACCTGAGCGCGAGGGCAACAGTCTGCTGTTGACGTCAAGTTCCAGGTGCTTTTAGCTAGTTTCCCCCAGCCTTAGATCTCATTGCTGAACCTCACCAGAGCTCGCCAGTAAAAAAGGAAAAAAAAATCACCAACAACTCTGAGAGGCATGGATTTAGTGCCCCACAATCACTTATTCTCAAAGGATTTAATAAAAAATTAACGTGACGGGGGGGGGGGAATCCTTCTTCTTAAGGTGTGTGAAGAAAGTTTTAGCCTTTAGGTTTCGGTAATTTATCTAATATTTCAGTCTTAATATAATTAGCCGTTTCTTTCAGCTCACAAAGATAGTTATGAGGAGCTAAGCTTGCAAAAATCTTCTTGCAGCCACAGTCTTCATAACGCAGTGATTTTTTAAAATCACATCTTTAAAGCTCAGCGGTTCCTTCTGAAAGTGTACCTCACAGCTTAATAGGCTATCTGACTGTGATCGGTGAGCGCTGCACAGTGGAAACTGATCCGTCTGTATGATGCAGAGGAAGCTCCAGGCTCCACTCAATCCCCCTTTACACTGGAGGAATGCACTCACGATAAACGACGTCTAGCAGAAAAGATGTAACGCACTGCAGATCGCTAATTGTGTCGGGGCACACTACTTGCTGGATAAATCCACAGAGGCTCTTTCCCCCGCACGACAACAGCGTGTGCACTCGTGGATGAATGAAGGCCTAAGATCCCTTTTCAGTCACAGAGCTCAACGCGCAGCCCCTTAAAAGGGATGAAAACGCCGGCAGTTTGCTGCCAGTCGGCCTGAACGGTAAATAAAACAACAGATCGATGTGGATGGAGCAGCACGACAAACAACATTGGCTCTTTCAGAATTGATTAACCCGGCCGGGACTCATTTGTTCTTCATGCGGTAACTTGTAGGGGAAGTTTTTAAATGAGCGGTATTCAGGTTTGTGATGGAGCCACTGGAGACAAACCCACCTGATTACTCTAACCAGCTCGTGGAAAGCCTGGTCTACGTTCATTCGGATTTTGGCGGAGGCCTCCATATATGTGACCTTTAATTGCCTGGCCAGGTGCTGGCCCTCTTCCTGGGTTACCTGAAGAAAAAGGAAGAAGAGAATAGTGATGGGCTTAAAATCCTAAATGTTAGAATAATTTTCCACAATTTACAGAAACCCAGCATTTCGCAGTTAAGTGAGCCGCTGAGTCACGATAATGTGAATCTGGGTTGTAGTCTCTCTGACGTAATACCTGTAACAGACTAACAGCTGCCTTGATGTTTGTGCCCACATTAAATGTTAAGCCTTGACATTTAAAGAACACCCCCCCCAATAAAAAAGAAAAGAGAAACACATTACAGGCCAGGAGGCGAATGGTGATTCTTTTTGTTTCTCATTTTAATCTCTGAACAATTTCTCACAAGAAGCCATTTTCCCTGGATCCTCCGGGCGTTACAAATAACCCTCAGTATTGGTTCAGCGGCCTGGAGCTTCCCTTTCATTATTTAGAGCACGTCAGGACAGCGTGGTCCCTCCACAGCGAAACGGAAACTATTTAATTGGAGTGTGGAATGCATCTGGGACTCTACAGAAGTGTGAATTCACCTGCTCTGGGACACGGCTGCGCATGCACTGCGAGTCAAATAATGAAACAGGTTCCCAACTGGATTATATGGAATGAAAAACACCAAAAGAAAATCGCAAAGCTTTTCCATGTAAGCTACAGCCTATCCACTGTCTGCCATGCGCTGCAAGTAATCGTAATTAAGTATGTTAGTCACTCTCCCGTCTGCAGAATCTACAGTAAAAACTGAAATGACAATGACAATGAAAGAAAAAGAAAAGATCAAACACACTGGCTGTGAGTCACACTCAGCTTGTAATGCTTTGTATGTGCCTGTGAGACTCCTTTTTACCATTAGGGGGCGGTGTGCTTTCACTGAACGCACTGGAAAGACACCACATACCAACAGTCAGGATATTCATCCTCTCATCACACTCCCTTCTCCATCAGTCCTCCCCTTTGACACCACGTCTCTGCCGCTCTTCTGTTATTCTGTTGCTCGCATCTTGTTGTATCCCGGCTCCCATTTTAAACATGCAAATGTGAAATCCCTCAAGACTGCTGGATGTTTTCTATTCAGATGACTGAATCATGTGGATGTTTGTCAGTCACTGGCTTCAGATCTCTGTAATCTGTTGGACTTACTTGTCTCTGTAGCTCCAGGTCTGCTTTGTTTCCTACCAGGATCATCGGGAATTCATCTCTGTCTTTGACTCGAAGAATTTGTCTTTGGAATTTGTAGATTTCTTCAAAGCTGTGAAAGACATTACATGTTAGGCGTCCTCTTGCAACTAGGATTTTTTTCCCCCCCCAGTGTGTGAACGTTTGCATTCATCGCAAAACAATGCGTTTCGAAGAACCCTCCATAACCACACGAACACACAGAACAATCACCCAGAAGTCAGACGCAAAACCACTGTGGCCAATCCACAGAGATGAACATGTTAGCAAAGAGGAAGAAGCCTGCCACACTATCATAGCAACATAAATGTGTTTTGCTAAGCCTCAGAACTGTGCACCAACCTGAATGTTGCTCCACCATAATACAGATGGCATGTGATGGCACGTTTTCAAGCAAATAGTGAATAAAAATGTCAGTCCTGAGGGGGCGAAGGGGGGGGCAGAATGCAACCACAAACCCAAGACGGCATTCCAGCCGTGGTGAGCGCATAGTAAATCTGGAAAGACTCGACTAATATAAATGGAGGAAGGAAAGCCTGTTTACAACATAAACACTGGGAGGGGGCTGTGGGTGGGGACAGGGGAATGCGTCTCGCTGCACGGCTGGGCAGGGACACAGCGACAGAGGCTGCAAAGGGAACACTCAACTGTTTGATGTGAGCGAAACCTCAGAAGGTGGCTTCAGCCCCTCGAACAAGCCTGTGAGGCAAAAGCAATAACTTTTCACACCAAGACCTTTCGGTTTGTGTAAAGATGGACCACCTTAAACAGAGCCCGCAACTTCGGCGGTAGCTTTCACGGGCATGAGGGATTCGCCGGCGAGCGGCGTGGGCAGGTATTTCATCTAACCGGCGGCCCTGTTCACGCTTTGCTTTTCGTTAAGGCTGGCTCGGCGTACCTGGTTGCGGCTCGAGCAAACGCACCAGGCGCACACATCTGTTGCATATGCAAGGGGAGCAGCAGGTAAAAAAGGGCATCCGCTTATGAAATCCATTCGCCGTTGCCATGGCCACCACCGGTGTCACCAGATCAACCGGGAATGAGAAAGATTGGGTTTTTTTTTTTTTTTTTACTCCCTTTCGGTGACCTGAATTTAAAGCCGTTCGTCTTAAAAGTTGCGCAGGCCGCACTGCATGAGTTTGACTCATCAGTGAGTCAGTAAGTGCTGTTTAAGAGGTTAAAGGGCTGTGCCCCGTGTCAGCGTGTACACACACACATGTTGTTGGTAGCAACACACTCGCATCAACAGACCTGCCCATTAAAGGGTTTAGAAACTAGGAAAAATGTCTTTTGGGTTCCGCGTCTTACTGTGTTTAAATAAAACATTAGCTCGGTATAGGGAGGTAAGGTATGGCAGTCAGGGGATTAGAGGGAGCACGGCAGGGGAGGAAGTGTTGAGAACAAAAGCATATGACAACAAGAACAACAGCGAGGTCCGGAAGTGCAGGAGGCAACAAGTGAGAGCGCTGATGCAAGATTTATGGTTTTAGTAGAGTCAGGGGCTGAGGGGGAACGATAGGGGGGGTGCTACAGTAAACAGGGCTGTGTAAAGAAAAAAAGAAAAGGGGGGGGCACAGTGTGTGTGTTTTTGTGTGTGAGAGAGAGAGAGCGTCTCCACATGAAGAAAACTGTCACTTACCTTC